AATCATTTGGCACAAGCTTGAAATCAACCTCATACCGTACCATTGATCAGCGTGAGAGAAGGTGTGCATAATTAAGGTTGCTAAAGACAGTCATATAAACTCAAAATGCAGGGGTGCATTATTTTGTCGCATAGTTGAACTAGTTGTTCTTTCGGAAAATTTTATTGTGGCCTTTGAAGCCTTACTAATGACCAAAGACATCTTAAATTCCGCACCAGCGGGACATTAAACTAAATTCACTCCAGTTGTGTCACCCTTGAAGGTAAGCTTTTGCCCTAGATTATTCTCGCTTATTTAAATCATTATATTTCCCAGAAGTATTTTTGATAAATTTATAATACAAGAATGCATTTTTTTCACGTATCTGAATTTAGTTTTGAAAAAGTCTACATTAAATTGAAAGATAAAATTGAAGATATCCTAGTTAAAAAAATTAGGTGCCATTTAACCTTAGAACCATCAACCTGTACGACTGCAGGGTGTCTCGGATATTTAAGGGGATTAAAGATGTAATGAGGATATTTTAATAATGATCATCTTTCCATGCAGGGTTGGCAAAATGGAAATTTTGATTCACCTAATTGTGTTTCGCACAAAAAATTATAATAATTTAAAATAATTATTAACTTAAAAATAGTAATGTGGCTTTTATTTTTTATTTACATTATCTTTAGTGATAACTACTTATTTAATAAATGAATTTTTTTTAAAAAAGCAACTAAATTCAATTAAAAAGGTTTCCATCACTAAAAACACTGCAAAAATAATTTTATATGATTAACGCAAATGTATAAACCAAACTAACTTTTAATCGTAATGCTAAGACTAACTTTTCTAAATATTTACTAATTTGACCAGACAAAAAAACAATAAACAGTTTGATTAAAATGTGTTAACAATTTTTAAATTGACGAATTGGGAATAATCCTTTTTTTAAACACTTACAAAAAAATGGAATTGGCATGATAATCGAAATGCCAGTTCACACAAAAAAAGTTCTTTGCTTTCTATTTGATGCTCATCTGAAATAATATTAATACTATTTAAAAAATGAGTGCAATGCCAATGGATTGGGGACTTTGTGTGTTACTTTGACATTAAAAAGAGAAAAGCAGTTGGAAAGTTAATAATGATCAATAAAGGCTAAGTACTAAACAAAAATGAATCTGTTATTCAGGAAACATTACAACAAACGTAACACATTTAAAGAAAGACAACATTTTTTATTTTAAAATATTTTATGAAACATACATTATTTCTTTGCGGCCTTTAAAAAATTAAATGCATGATGCCTATGATGATAGTCTTGCATTTTCGATGAACAACAATTTGAAAATAGATACCACAAGTTTAATACTTGACTTACCTCTATTAAAACTGTAGAACTTTACATGTATGTAAATATATTTTAATACAGTGTCATTAAAGTATTTAAACTTGTTAGTTTGCAACAAAAATAAATATATATGTTTTCGTTATATTGTTGTACACATTGTATTCCGACCGGGGGGGGGGGTAATGGGGCTGTACTCCCCATCCCTGAGAGATAGCTGAAAGAAAAACTGATGCTAACAATAACTATATTTTTAAAAACATGATGTCATCATTCAATTTTTAATTAACACCATTCCCAAGTTTAAAAGCTTTGCTTTTGTTATAAAATCAAATTTAAAAACATGAAAAGTGTGCTCATGTTTGATACTTAGTGAGAACTCTTTTAAATCATCGACCTTAAAATTGAAGCAAATGTAGTTTAATAAAATGTTATTAAAGACTTTAAGCTGGTGAGTTGGCAAAAAAAAAATAAAAAATAAATACAAACTGCAGATTAATGCGAACGGGAAGTAATATTTCGGCTCACAACCGGCTAATTTGTTAAACATTGCGATATTTATAATCGAATAACGTAAGCTTCTTAGAAGATTAGCCTTAACTATCTGGATCATCAAATATCTCGAAACTATCGATATTTCATAGATTGCACTAATCGTAATCGCATAATGACACCAGCTAATATTATGTTTAAAATTTTCAACAAAAAAAATGACAATTTGGTGGTTATCTATAAAATATATTTTGTTTTATTGTTGTACATATTTTTGCTTCGGGGGGCACTTGATTTTCACCGGGGGACAGTGCCCCGCCCCGGAAATATAGCTAAATAAAACCCAGGATATAATTCAATAAAGAATTACATTCGTTTGTAATTCATCCGGTTGATAACAACTTTTAACGTGGCGGGCCGTATCCGGTTCGCAGGCCGCTGCTCGGCCACAATTGTTATAATCCATTTAATTGCAAGCTTTGTTACTTGATCACCTCGACTGGAGTCACCAATGTTTGCACCCAACAAGGCCCGCTGACGAGGATATCATTTTCTTTGTGTTTCTTGGAAATACCTCAAATGAAACGTTTGTAATCGCCACTCCTTGTACTGGAACCTTAACCCACATAAGCTCTTAGACTTTTCTTCTGTTGCAGGAAAGACTGCAACTAAGATATCGTGTCTCACAGTTGAGCTCCAACTGCTGTATAATTTGGGTTTTAATAAATCGTTTCTTTCAAACAAATTTGTTGTTTGTGTGTGGGCAGCGATTGAGACGTTTCGGTGGGGGGGGGGGGGTGCAGTGCATTTATCTGCGCCAAAATTACACAGAACCAAGTTAGGGAAAGCCTTGACTCGGTGGTTCTCAGTCTTCCACCTGCCGCGACCCCTTTCATACAGTTCATCATGTTTTGGTGACCCCGAACCATAAAAATTGTTTGTAGTTACTTCATAAACATGTGTTTTCCGATGGTCTTAGGCGACACCAGAGTAAGGGTCGTTCGACCCCTAAAGGGCTCAAGACTCACATTTTGAGAACCACTACCTTAACTCAACCCCTCCAGTTAAATAGAAACTAAATTCATTTCTGTTCTTGCACTCTTAGGGGAATAATTTTCTCTACACCTTTTAATTTGCAAAAAAAAAATAATACTGTATATCTAATTTCATGAGAATCATAACTATTTAATCACACACTGCACTTAAGGTTTTCTTATTGTAGAAATGAGATACCACTTGTGTCATTTAGTAATCGAAATGGTGTACGGGTTGGGCAGGAAACGTTATCATTAATGTCTCCCAAGGGCAACGCTGTGTTTCTTGCAAAAAAAAATTATTTCTATAGCATTTCAGCTTTTCGTATGGAAAGTTGTACTGCGGTATTAAAGCACATGCCAATTTGAATAACAGCAAGGCAACAGTGCGTTAGAGTCTAATTTTGTATCTAGATTTACATTAAATTTTCCGATTTTAAAATATATCTTGCTACGCTTGATATATTTTAAAATCGGAAAATTTAATGTTTTATTGTAGTACACCTATTTCACTAATTTTCACACGCATCATCTCGCCAATCCATCACATTAAGGAAGATGAGCAGTAAAACCATCTAAAACTCTTGTACGCAACAGTGATTCTTTGAAAAAAAAAAATCAGAGCCGTCCCTCCTTAATGCCAATAACTTTAAAAAAAACTGAGAACCAAGCTTCTGTTGTACATTTGAGAACCCCTGTCGCAATATAAAGATAAGATTAAGACCCACTTCCTGTTATTTGATCTTTGTGTCGTAAATTTAAATTGACTGATTTGTCAAGGGAACGATTCAGCCGGGAAAAAAGTGGGAGGGGTGGGGGGGGGGGGCTTCAGAAAATTTTTCCTTTAATAATTATCCAGAAAATATGACACTTTCTGATAAATCTAATAGAGCCAAATGTCAAAAAAAATTATGTGAAATCCATGATATTTAATAATTTTTTTAATTGTGGTGGGAGGTGAAAAGGACTTCAGAAAATTTTTCCTTTAATAATTATCCAGAAAATATGACACTTTCTGATAAATCTAATAGAGCCAAATGTCAACAAAAATTATGTGAAATCCATGATATTTAATAATTTTTTTAATTTCTTAAAAGAAATCATCGTAATGCTTCCAATTTCCGACCGACCGTTGCTTTGTGTGCGTCATTTGTGATGTGATCATTTCGTTGGACTGAACCCTAACAAGCAACTGGTCTACCTGGGAGTTAAGTTGGACCAAAAGGTACAAATGCACAATTTTGTACAGGACCTCTGCTCCCAGGCAACCGCCAAGCGCAATCTGGTGAAAAAATTGGCTTGCACAAGTTGGGGCGCGGGCGCAAGTACGCTTAGAACTCTCTTCCTAAGCAGTGTAAGGTCGTTGATGGATTACAGCATGCCGGTCCAATCCTTTGCAAGCAAGACCGCACTGGAAAAACTGGGCCGAATACAGAATCAGGCTCTGAGATTCATCTGTGGCGCATATAGGACTACTCCCACAGCTGCTGTTGAAGTCTTGGGCAATGTAGAACCGCTACAAATTAGGAGGGAAAAATCCATTTTAAATACCGTAGAGAGGTACCGACGGCTCGGTGAAAATGAACCAGCCTTCCAAATGCAGAATAACTGGGTGGGTGGCAGGAGACTAAAGAGCTCCTCTTTCATGCACCAGGTCGTAGAGCTGGAAAGGACAGTCACCCTGCCCCCAAATAGAGAACGCCTGACCCTAATCCCAGTTGATCCGCCATATGCGGAACCCTCACGCCCCTCCATACATTTGGCCTTGGCTGATGCAGCAGTGACGAAACGCAGCCCTGAACATGTACAGAGAGTGGCTGCCCTTGAGACCATGGATGTGTTCGCACACATACCTGTGAAAGTGTTCAGAGACCTTAGAACATCTGTTGACTGAATGTCCCACACTAGATCTCCCGGGGGAAGCCAGGGCGGTTGGAGGATCCTTTGTGAGGGAAATGTTGTATGGCTCAGCTCAACAGATGGAGTTGATAGCCAATTTACTAGCCGGGGTCATAAGAGAGTAATCTCAGACCTTCACCAGAATATGTGAGATAGATAGTAGCGCTGAGAGAAACTTCAAGTATCAACATTGAACAATAACATGCAAATCATTTTTTTTACATAAAATGATCTAATTTTTTAGACAATGGCGGATCAGAATGAAAGTCCAAGTGCAACAGAAAAATCATCTTCCCAAGAATTGATCAACACAACATACTCAGGGGAGGAAGAATGTCATTTTCCTGAACCCCCAGCGTACAGCTTGGATGATCCGAATGCAAGGGAGAATAACAGAACACATTGGACGCCTGATGAGGATGATGTAAGTACCTGTCTTACGTTGCATGAAAAATTGACCAAGGCTTAATGCGACGGTCAATTGCAGGTGGCCTGACAGTCTTATTTGTATCTGAAATGCTTTCCCGCATGTGGAATACACGTTGTTTTGGGTCTCAGAGGAAAATTTGAGTCGATTATACTTTTACATCTTGCGCTTTTATTTTTTTTGGGGGGGGGGGGGCAGGCGTGAGTGGTCCTCTTATCTGAGGATTACGCTCTGAAAGTGAGTCCACCACGCCAGCTTGCATGGACCATGAAAATTGTCTCCCACAAAATAGTTCAATGTCCAAGGGGTTGAGAGTGGATTTTAGACAGTCATTTATGCGTTTTTTCCCTGCCCACTGTGTGTGCGTTTCCAAGTGGAGTTGTCAGCGAATATTATTCATTAGGATGTCTGCTGACTGGCATTCTTGCAATAGGTCCTGCCCATCTGGCTACTCCTTATTGTAGGTCTGTGGATGTTAACAAATTAAGACTATTGTAGGACCTCTGTATCAGGAACTATGTCTAGCCACTTTATCCCAAGAAGTTTACGTAGACAGCGTAGGTGGAAATAATTTAGCTGTCTAACATGTCTGCTGTAAACTTTCCATTTATCGCTAATTTTAATTTAATTGCAATATATACTTTTCGCCTAATGACGAGACTGAGACCTATTCGCCCTTAAACACTCCAGGGGTGCCTTGAAATGCTACATTAGCTTCGAAAATGTGTTTTCTGATCTCACTCTCTATAGTTTCTGACCTGGAGAGGGTGCTGCTCAAATATGTGAATTTTTACCCTGCTTGGAGATTCTGTCCCTCCACTGAAACTTTACCTTATTTGTAAGCCTCTTCTAGAGCCGGCTGGTGAAAGATCTCTTTTTGGGGGGTTATTGATGTTGAGGCAGTAATTTTCACAGGCCTTAGTTAAGCGATCAAGTATTTGATGAAAAATCAGTTCCCAGCTTGCATTTAGGACACAGTCATCGGCAAACAAAAGACCCTTTTAAGTTTTGCAACGGCTTGCAATCTTTTAAGATTAAATAGCCCTCCTTGTGGCCTGTATCTGTAAAAATGCGTCGGTATTTTCAAGAGAAGAGTCAGTCAGCATTGCTGAGAATGAAATGCTAATATTATACTAGTATCATACAATCGATACATTTCTTTTTAATTTTAATTTCCTGATAATAATTAAAATATAATTGAACCGTTTACGCTAGTTTTAAAACTGTTACATATTTTTCATTTGTCCATAGACAGATTTAATCTTCTTTAACAGGTTGAACAAGAAGGTTATGATTACAATGCTGCTACAGAGGTTGAGTACGAAGAAAACGCCGCTGCTAGTTCAAGATTATACAGAGATCACCCTAAGACCTACGACGGCAGCCAGCATTACGCAGGCCGACGACAAGTGAGAGTTCAAACTCGTCAATTCGCTGGACACTATTTCGTCAAAGACTATTTACGAGCAACAGCTGCCAAGTCAGGCCGACCGTATTTGGGCCAAACTCACCCAGCTCAACCACATCCGGTCCAACCACATTATTCCACACCACATCAAGTTAAACCCCATTCAGCTGAAGCGTATCCAGCTAGGCCATATCACAAAAGCGCACATCCGTTGGACCCGTATTCATCACACACCGCCCGACCTGCTCATTCAGATCGAGCACAAATACACAGATATTTAGAAGCCTCACCTGCGCCTTACCAAGATCAAGTTCTTTCGTTGACGCCAGCTGAACGACCGGACCCACCAGTACCAACTTTCGATATCGTGTATATTCCAAGGAAGCGGGTACGTCATTTAAGGCGGGGATTTTAAAAACATAATTCTTTTGAAGAGTCTCATGTCTCTAGAAAAGTGCTAATGACTGGATGGTAGGCACCGTCTTCCCTATTGCCTACTTTTAATTGAGGTTTTCAAAAGTGCCTCTATTGTTAACTACTCGCGAAAACACATTTTTGATCCACACCACAGTTCTTTAAAAGACGCTTTTTAAGACACCGTTATTGTTGCTGTTTTTAATAAAGGCTTTCGTTCTACTCACAAATCCGTCAGGTTTTCTTTTACCCCTGCACCGTGCTGACCTTCAAATTCAGGTGATTTAGGCGTCCACTGGTAGCGAAACGTAGCATAGTTTGTTGTTTTTTAAAACAATGTCAAGGGTCAATAATTCTTCTTTGTTTCATAGTTTCAATTAAAAAGTAATTTTAATTTTTTTTTTTAAATCGAAAGTATTATCTTTCAAAGACGGATTTAGACGCATTAAGAAATATACAAATAGTTTAAAATATCTTAAAATGCATTCCGCCAAGAAAGTCTGTGCAGAAAATAATTTCAAAAATCAATACAATCATATTGAATTTCTCTGTTACAATTAATTCCAATACCTTGGTTTCTTTGAGTGCCTTGTTACCATTCCTCGCAGAATTTTTCTTGTTAAGCTAATACATTTTTAAAATTTAAATGATTTACTAATTTTGTGTGTGTCTTTAAAAGTTATGATTGTAAATTGCAATAGAAACTAATCCAAGTTGAATTTGAAACAATTTATCCGGCCATACCCCAGTACCTTTCATTATCCCTTTTTGACTTTTCGAACAACTGATGCGTCCAAGCTTAATACCCTTCATAAAATGTTTGGCTCATTAAATCAACTTTCTGTTAAAAATCAATATTTTCATAAATTTACCTTTTTTGTTTGTTGTTATTTTCAGCCTAATCGCCATGGGAACGGAAGAAGTTACATAGCCTTTAGCGTGTTTGTCTGTTTTTGCTGCTGCTTACCATTGGGCCTACTCGCCATCTATTTGTCATACCAGGTAATTTTAATTATTGGAAAAAAAAGTTTCTTTTTATTTTATGGATTATGCTATGAACTTTTCAAAAAATGAAGTTCCTTGCGTCGAATGTTGAGATCTTCGTTATTGTCCATGGCACCGTTATCTATCTTCAATACAACACAGCCGCACTAGTTCTACACCTGGTTCACACTCAAGAGCAATAACGCCGTTCAATGGAAGTAACTATCAAAATTCTTCATTGTCGGGATCCTATCATAGCACCTGGCAGATCACAAAACGATCCCTATCACCGCCTCCCTAAACGGACAACTTATACTAAACCACTCTCTTCTAAGTGACTAACGAGGACTTGCGCCTTCACTCACTACCATATTAACTCAACATACTGACGAGAATGAACTCTACGACAGACCTTGCCACTATCTGACCAATCAGAACATGTCACTACGATCTCACGATAAACAACTTAAATATACCTAACAATCACGCGCTGTCACATCCAGTTCATAACAGGTTATTGGCTCTTAATGTTTAAAATTCGTTGATTAATTCCATGGATTCTGGCTTCTAAGTGCTGAAAACGGACCAGAACGGTTCAGTGAAGTTCGTCATAGTGCGAAGAGAAAGGATCTGGAGTCATCCGCCGAAGACCAAAGCACTCCGTGACCGAGCGTCTCAGGAGACGCAAAACCTAATACCTTAAAAACCCTAAGCGTTTGAATAACAAAACAGTTCTGACTCTCGGGAGATCATAGAAAGTAAGATTTATTAGATTTAACCATGTGTACCTTGTTCCTCTGTCTTTACAAGATGGTGGGTGGCCGAGCGATCTAAAAAGCTGCTCGATTTTTTTTTTCATAAATTCACCCGTTTTTTTTTTTAGTTTTTGGTTCACTCAATCAAAATACCTGGTGGTCTGGAGATCTATCCAAAGCAAACAAATCCACATCACCAAAGGTGGAAGGGGCTCTTTAGCCTTGGACGGCAACTGATCTACGAGAAGGAAATCACTGAATTCACACCAGGAGACTACTGATCAATAAATTGATCGTGGGTCCCTCAAAATATAGAAGAAGAAGAAGACTTCACTCATTAGTGTCTGGAGGGACACACTGTTTCCGGTGTCTGTGAAAATCTTGGTACGAGGAGCAAAAAACTAATAAAAGTGGCGTCGATGTTCAACCCATCCCAAAATTTGCGATTGTAAAACATAGAAATATGTGAAACCATGTAATAAGGGACAGAGAGTATTTAGGGGAAATGGAAATGAGTGAAACAAATTATGGGAAAACCTGAAACAAATGACGCAAGAACACAAAGAACGTCACGACAAGTCGTAATGGACTAACTTTCCTCTCTTCCGTCTTATTGTGCCTTCACTTTATCCGTCACCTACTTATCGTATGTCAAATTCCTCTTGCTATCCCTCACATTATTGCAGCTAAGTGTTATTTTCGTTTTACATTTCTTTTACTGTTGTGTATTCGCTGAATGAGACCTACCTTTAATTCAAATTTTAAATGGCTCTAGCGAAGTTCAATCCAGACAAAGAACTGGGACCTGAAGACGTCTAAAATGATATGCTCACTCGTTTGGAAAGCAAAACGTAACGAACGCTTTCAGAACGTTTCAATAATAACGGATCACTGGCATTCTTCCTATGACGTTGAAGCGAGCATTGATAATAAGAATTATCAAAGATTGATGACCGGGAGACTAACCGTTGAACAACCTTAATGTTTAAATGAGGTCACTTTGTGGACGAATGGGTCCCATAAAAACGCAGTGGTTAAGGTCACTGCAATCGGCTCTTGCTACACGAGTGAAAATAAAGCTGCATACGGTGCACTCGTCCAGTACCCAAAAGAGGGAGTCTCCGAATAATAAGAATAAGAAGACTTGAAATTATTGCATAAGATTTGATGCAGAAATCGATGTTATACTTTGGCCCTCAGACTATTAAGCCGCACATTAGATAGAAAAAACCATTCCGTCAATCTTAGTGTTTACCGACTCACAGTTGGTTTTCCAGTCTGTGTGTAATTGTTTTAAAGACAAGAAAATTAGTTAAATCGATTCTGGATATAGCAAAAGATAGAGCCCCAAGGAGGCAGAGTATAACTTCAATGGATCATTGGACAGGTGGACATAGCCCAAAAGGATTGAGCTAACTCTCAAGACATCACATTGTACAGCTAGGTTCAAGGTTAACATATTAATTTAGAGAGGAATTGTATACGTGTTGTCAAAAAGATCAATGTCTCATAACCTACAATGGAATTTGACACTTCCGAAAAATGGTTTAATGAGTGAGAACTAAAACAAGGTCAACAGCGCCTCACTGCGCAAATGAGAACAGACCACAGTCCTACTCGAAACTACTAAACCATAATAAAAAATCACTTCGGAATCCGACCTGCCGACACTGTGGGCATGCGCCACAGTCATCTGTGCACTTTTTAGTCGCGTGCCCGATACCTAAAAATTGTAGAGTTGGTATCCTCCAGGAAAACACGTGGAAAATCCAGTTTTGTGCGACGCCCAACAGATGCGGCACGCCTGTAGATGGTTTTGCTCGATCACCAAAGGAGCTCTTCTTAGCAACATTACATTGTTGGTTAACAACTATGGTAGGCATGGAAAATAGACGGAACTTGATTAGCCACCACTGAATTTCTCATAACGTCTCCGCTGTTTTGTAAGAAATATTTCAAAATTTTCTGATTAGTAAGATGTGTGAAATTGGACTAATTGGTGTGGATCTATAAAATGAATATATTTTTAGATTTTTCTTTCGCTACTTAAAAATGAAGGTGATTCTTTTGCGAAACGAATTACATCCAGGTTCACGTTGTGAAGGAGAGAAGGGGTGTTACAGTGGGCTTCCAGTGTATGTTTATTATGAAGTATTTTAGAGGATTTTTTTTTCATTCTGTGGACACATAAAGGCACTCAAAGTGTTACAAAAATGTGCTTGACCTGAAAAAGTCATATTTTTCTGTTACTGTAAGACAGATTTTTGAAGTTTAGTTCTGAAATTTCTTGAGTAAAAATTATTTTATTGATTTCTCGTTTGACAATTTTTAACACGAGAAGCATTGTGAAATATTGACAACCTCTCCCCGAAAATATCAAAATTATGAATAATTCCTTTATGTCCATTTTTTCCAAATAATACATTAATATGGATACCTTATCCTGTTGTTTTCAAATTAAAGCAAAATACTAACGTCAAAGTTTATAATACACCATTTCACAGGCAAAGACTTCGTGGCTCAAAGGCGCTTACCGAAGGGCCAAGTCCTTCTCCATAGCCGCGCTGGTTACGAACATCCTTGGCGTCATCCTCGGCATTGTGCTGGCAGCGCTTTTAATCTGGCGTCATTAAAAAGGATAACTTGGACAACTTTATTTTGAAAACATTTTTTTACTGAAAGATGTGTCAGGGAAGTCTGTCGGATATCATTCTTTTGGGGGATTTTTTTTGTTCTTAGAGATTCTTGTTGGTGAAAGTACACATACTTTTTTTTCCTCTGCTCAGCTGACTGGGGATGCCGCCTTTGGGACCACTTAATTTAAAGTTACCGTGTTGCGCTTGTTTTCATATATTTACTGTTTAATTGCTAGTAGTCTTTGGGGGGATGGTGATTTTATGCAGAAGATGCATGAAGCAAAGCCCTTGCAAAAAAAAAAAAATAAAAAAAAAAAATTTCTAAGGCCATGGTTTACCAAAAGTCAATGTTGTCCTGCGCCAAGATCAGCCGAGAATGACATTCCAGTAATCGGCGTCTTAACTCATTTGATGGGGAGTCCGCTACTTAGTCTTCTCGCAAAGACGGAAAGGGTGGCACACATGCTTACTCACATGATTTCGCAATAGTAACAAAATTTTTGTGCCCACGACACTGCACTACGACGAGGCTAACAAAACTACGGTTTCGGCAAATTGATGGTTCATTCTCAAATACCACCCTTTGAAAGGTCAACCATTTAAAAGACAAAACTTTTGTTAATTGATATTTTTAGTTTTAAAATTGGATTGTAAATAAAATTATTTGATTGGAGTGTAACAAAAATTCATAAGTAAATATACCCTGACTGCGTTAATGTTTATAAATGTGCCCATTTATGCGAGTATCCTATTTGTTGTTGTATAACAATACAGTTATGTGTGCAAAGATTTTATACATTTTGGTGGACATTTTTCCTTTGTTTAAATAATTGCTTTACTGAAATTTAGTTTTTAGTTTTTCTTTGCCGTAGTTACATCTATTTGTAAGCATTGTAGTTAGTTACATCTATTTGTAAGCATTGTAGTTGGTTACATCTATTTGTAAGCATTGTACTTGGTTACATCTATTTGTAAGCATTGTAGTTGGTTACATCTATTTGTAAGCATTGTAGTTGGTTACATCTATTTGTAAGCATTGTAGTTGGTTACATCTATTTGTAAGCATTGTAGTTGGTTACATCTATTTATATAACACTTGTAGCGATTTATTCATCAGGAGCTTTTGTTATCGCAAAATGATAGAATTGATGAGCATTAAATCTCTTACCACCCCTAATGTTGTACTAGAAACAAATATGTGTACACATAAATTGGTTTTACAAATTACAACTTAGTTTTATTGTAAAGCTTTTTATTGATTTCATTATATCTGATATAATGACAACTGGTTCTCTCAGGATACGTTTCTAATCTATTTACAACCGGATGGTTAATTTGGCTCAAGGCATGGTTCTTTGTTCTCTGAAATGACGCTATGACTTTGAACTAAAATAAAGTTTAAAGAAATAAATCATGCTCTTTTGAGTACTTAAGGTTATTATTTTCCTTATCGCTTTTCTGCTCTATTTAAAATTTTATTAGGAAGACTTCCGTGGAATTTCAAAAAGCTTTCTAGAAGGAGCGTGATTTCAGTGCTGTCTTCTAGTTTCGCTTAAAGATATAAAAATAGATTTCATATTTCTGAAGGTGGTGACTGAAGTGATTTTTAACCAGACTTTGAAAAAAAACATTTAAAAACTTGCATGACGTCAGATAGCCCAGCCATTGTTGTTGGCATAGTTCAAAAGTCCAAATATCAAATCTCAAGAACTCTTGTGATTAGCGAACCGCACCGGGTGACCCTCTCACAAAGGGAGTTAAAAAATTAACATGGAGAAATGCCCACCTAAAAGAGCTCACTCCCTTTGATTTCAAAGTAACTGTATTTAAAAATGAAAAAAGTAGAGGGTCATTAAAGTAGGCTGCCACACAGAGCAGGGTGCCACAAGAGTAGGGCGCCACACAGAGCAGGGTGCCACAAGAGTAGGGCGCCACACAGAGCAGGGTGTCACAAGAGTAGGGCGCCACACAGAGCAGGGTGCCACACAGAGCAGGGTGCCACAAGAGTATGGCGCCACACAGAGCAGGGTGCCACAAGAGTAGGGCGCCACACAGAGCAGGGTGCCACAAGAGTAGGGTGCCACACAGAGCAGGGTGCCACAAGAGTAGGGTGCCACACCGAGCAGGGTGCCACAAGAGTAGGGCGCCACACAGAGCAGGGTGCCACAAGAGTAGGGTGCCACACAGAGCAGGGTGCCACAAGAGTAGGGCGCCACACAGAGCAGGGTGCCACAAGAGTAGGGCGCCACACGAAGAAGGGTGCCACCAGAGCGTTTCCAGCGAATTCGCATTGGATTTACATTTTAGCCATAAAAAATTATTTTCCCTTCGTATATTCATTTATCATGGTGAAAATGAAAATATAGATTGTAATAAAAATGACTGCACAATTTTGGTTTAAAAATAAACCCTTTATAGACACACATTCTTCTGATGACTGTAAGTGATTCTGTGTTGTCTTGTAAAGTAGAATTTTGGGGAAGACCCTCAGGGGAAGACGTTGTAGGAATTCTGGATTAAGTGGAGTGTCACCATTATTTCAAGGACACTTGGTGACGCCGCTGCGCCTTCTCACTCCTCACACCGCTTTGAAAATGTAAGGTTTTGCTGAAGCATTTGAGTGTTGTAAAGTAAGAAGTGTTTTATTTTGATAATATGTTAAAGAATATGCTACACTACTTCAATTTAATCATGTCTGACAATGCTAAGAGAGCGTTTTATTATTCTGAGATTGTGATAAAGTTGTAAGACAGGAGACTGCCAAAGATGAATTAGAGAAATCAATCTGGAATTAGCCAGAATTCGTTGTAGAATCACTGCTTTGATTATTTATTTTTTTTACTGGCATCCGTCAGTTACAATGTGACGATCGTGTGACCTCGCAGGACAAAATGACCAGGCCAGATATTTTTTTCATTAGGACAATAAGCTGTTTCCTTACACACGAAATTGCCTCTCTCCACGCACCTTGATAACTCAAAGCGACATCATATACGGATGATGCAGCTTGGCACAAGTTGCGTCGCAGAAGTTGTCAGAATTTTCATGTTATAGCTTTATCCACCTACGGGATTCCTCCGGGTTAGATGAGTTGCCTGCAAGGTTAACGGGTCCCATCTCTTAGATGAGTTGCCTGCCAAGGTTAACGGGTCCCATCTCTTAGATTAGTTTATGCCAAGGTTAACGGGTCCCATCTTTTAGATGAGTTGCCTTCATTGCTGCCCACAGATACTACTTACCAGCTAAGTGCTATTTCTTATTCTTATTTTTATTTTTATACCGTTTTTTCTGTTGTTTTGTTCGCTGACGAAGGCTTTCTGCCGACACGTTCGCTGTTTTGTTGCGTTTATTTTTTCAGGTTAAACCCTTCTCTGTTTTACTCATTTTATTCCAAGGTTAACGGGTCCTCTCCATCCGGGGTGTTGGTGTTGTTTTTGCTTGACTTGGTCTATGGTGGGGATTGAACTCCGGACCACAGCCTTTGGATTGAGCATTGACTTATTTAAATTAAGATTAGATTAAACTACTACTCCCGGGACACTGCGTCATCAAGTCCAGTTATCAAGCTTTTAATGGTCCGTGTACTGTGTATATTACCTATTAATGATTCTAAGGATATTGTTCGGGTAGTTTTTCAATGGACTGGATAGTTACTTGTGACATTATGTATGACTGACGATTGTTGTTGTGTGTATTGATGGAATTTTATGACTGTTTGTTTTGTGTAGTCATCATTTGTATGATTGTACATGGTGAGTTGTTTTTATGAATGTTTAAACTCAAATGTGTGAATATTGATTGGAGAACTGGAGTGAGTGATCATATAATGTGGTGGTAGAAAAAGAATGTAGAATGGTGAATAAAGGTGAATTGTTGTTTTACAGACCCCAACACTTGAGTTGGTATCTTATTACACAGGCAGTAGAACTTTCAATTGGCTCTTATTGAAAAAAGATTTTAAAATGCTATAGATTTTGAATTTCATTGACATTAAATTGGGGCCCGCCTGGGCTCAAAATAGAAAGTAGTGAATCGTAAATTGGACTTTATGTCAAGTTTAGTCCCAGTCTGTGTGTAGTGGGCTTAATTTGCTGGAGGAGTAATGACAATGGATGTCAAGTTTAGTCCCAGTCTGTGTGTAGTGGGCTTAATTTGCTGGAGGAGTAATGACAATGGATGTCAAGTTTAGTCCCAGTCTGTGTGTAGTGGGCTTAATTTGCTGGAGGAGTAATGACAATGGATGTCAAGTTTAGTCCCAGTCTGTGTGTAGTGGGCTTAATTTGCTGGAGGAGTAATGACAATGGATGTCAAGTTAAGTCCTACACTGTGTCTGGTGTGGTTACTTTGCTGGAGGAGTAATGACAAAGGATGTCAAGTTAAGTCCTCGACTGTGTGTGGTGTGAATACTATACTTTAGGAGTAATGACAAAGGATGTCAAGTTAAGTCATAGAATGTGTGTGATGTAGATATATGCTATGCTGTAGGAAAGAAGACGTCACTTTTGATATACTCAAATCATTAATCGGTAATTTTTAAAATTGTTATAACCCCAGGGGTAGACAAATAATTGAACTCCAAAAAAAAATGTTGCAATTAAATTAGCATTTCTTTCCAATTTATAAAAATCTTCTTTAAAAAAAAATTGAACGGATTCCGAATATCTGACTTTTAAAAACTGATGAAATTATTCCGAATATCTGACTTGTAAATAAAGGTGAACGGATGCCAAATATCTGTCTAAACAATCATTCACAAATGACCAAAGATTGGAACATCTACTTGAACTTCTATGAAGCTGAAAACAAGTCTTGATGTGACATGGGCAACGAGTGTACTGCAGTTACTCTTATCTTTAGTTTACTTCTTTTAGAAATGGTATCTCCATAAATAAAGTACGAGATAGTGAAATTTGTAAAGATTAGTGACCAAGGCTGCTTGACCTTCTGCTGGCTGTAAATATAATCTTTTAATGTGAATGACGTCCGACCTTGACGCGAATGAACAAAAAGGAGGATTTTAATCATGAAAAAAAAAACAAGAAAGAAAAAACACGAAAAGTTGTGTCCATAAAAGTCCAGTGAAAAGTGTACGGCTTGTAATCTGGTGAATAATTGACAGAACCCCCTTGTTGTGTCCATAAAAGTCCAGTGAAAAGTGTACGGCTTGTAATCTGGTGAATAATTGACAGAACCCCCTAGTTGTGTCCATAAAAGTCCAGTGAAAAGTGTACGGCTTGTAATCTGGTGAATAATTGACAGAACCCCCTTGTTGTGTCCATAAAAGTCCAGTGAAAAGTGTACGGCTTGTAATCTGGTGAATAATTGACAGAACCCCCTTTTTTGAATTGAAAGACTTTTCATAAAAAATTTTAAATAAGAATGTAGTTGTACATGTTCTTACTTGGTTTTCTGACTTTAAAATATTCTATAAAACTTTACAAAAAAATTAAATGGAAATAATTTGCAATATCCTCTAATTTCCTATGATGAGTTTCTCGGTCAAAATAGATCAGGACTTGAAGGTAGCTCTTACTTACACGTGGAATCGTGATGAGCGTCCAATCACAGGCACGTCTAAATATAGAAAGTTTTTTTATTTCTTTGGGCAAGCGGCGGTTAAACAGAGCTGTCAACAATTTGGCGCGACATTCTCACCAGATCCAAAGTAGAAAAAAAAAGATACAGAGCAATATAGTACGTTGAAAGAGAGGGTTGGCGGTCTGCGATGGTCAGTCTATTTGCCAGCTGATGCCCTGGACTCATTATGAGTTTAAATAGGATAACTACGCTGTCGTGACTTAAACACAAACAACTGCACATATATATCTAATCTTTGCCGCGTACGCTGGACCCACAATTCTCGACATCAAACATTTAGTTTGCTGCATCTGTGTCTTTCATTTACGAACCCAACAATGAGAACGCAATTTTTTTTTCAAGGTTTACTTACAATTTAAAGGCTAAACATAAAAAAAGGGAAAACTACGACACATCTATATGAAAAGCTCTCTAAAACACCAAATCAAACTTTAAATAGTCTTTCTAAATAAAGAAATGGTGGGGTATTGAGTTCACACAAAAATATACAGTTGATCACACTAGCCTATAATGTAATTTCAACCCATACAATGAAGCATATTAAGCCAATGATTTAAATTGAAAAGCTGCATCCTACTACCATTTCATGCATTGTTTATCAAAAATTGGATTCTTCTCAGGGGCGTAGTGTCAAGTTTTTTAAGGGGTTGGGGGGGGGGGCAAAACCAAAACTTGTTCGGCTTGTTAATTTGTTTATTACTGGAGGCGCCAAAGTACATGACAATTTTATTAAAACCTGAAAATTCAGGGGGAGGGGGCTAAAACCCCACTCTGGCCGACCCAAATGACGTCCCTGATCCTACTACCCTATGATGCACTGTCAATCAACAATTGGGTGGATAGTGCAGATGTTAATGTTGTCAAAGAATATTGCGTTACAGTTTACAAGAGCCTAGCCTGCCGCCCTAGCAGGGTATAAAAAGCAGGCGAGCGGAGATAAGCTCACGGCATCTCGGACAACTCTCTACATCTTTCCAAGGACAGAAGTAAGTACAATTATTCTGTAGTGACTAGCTTTAATTCATGTATTAAGTCACTTCATCTTTCCAAGGACAGAAGTAAGTACAATTGTTCTGTAGTGACTAGATTTAATTCATGTATTAACTCACTTCATCTGTGCAAGGACAGAAGTAAGTACACGTGTTCTATAGTGACTAGATTTATTTAATGTATTAACTCACTTCATCTTTCCAAGGACAGAAGTAAGTTCAAGTGTTCTATAGTGACATAGTGACAACATAATTCCTGTATTCATCAATACACTTGGAAAACTTTTACTTCATGTACCGTATGATATTAGAATAGGTTCTGTAATATAAATATATATATCAAATTTACCATTGAAGCAATGACTTCTAAAAACATATCGTAATCGCTGTGTGAATCTATCAAGACAGGGGAGAAACAGCGCTTTGTTTGAACGATCATGTGGAAAATTCGTCAGATTCAATAGGGATAAAGTAAAATTTGTGTGTGTTTTGTTGGATTATTTTCATCTTCAGTCAAGCGAGACACTGTGTTCAGGGAGCTATCTGTCGTAGCAACGTTGTTTGTTTACAATGCAAGCCAGAAAAAATGGGCCTCAAAACAACACCCTTTTGTGGTTTTAAACCTTTAAAAAAAAAACAACCAACAAACAAAAAAAATAATGCAAATTGTTCGTTTGTAATAGTCCCTGTTGTGTTATCATTAAAGGTTGTAAAATAAGGAGGATAAATGGGGGGAAAAAATGCTGCAGGGGATCTCAAAACGCGGAGGGAAATGTGATTTTGGTGGGCACCTGGTGAAGAATTGTGCTTAAACATTATACTAAGTCAGTTTGTTGAAACATTATGTTGAAACAGCTCTGTTGGACTGCACGCCACTCGTAAGGTGTACAACCAGCTATACATTTTAGTAAAGTGTTTAGCTATACAGCCCTAATAGGTTTTTAATATATTGGATACTAGTGAGATTAAAAATAAACAACATGTGTATCATGTACATCATGCACTGGGGTGTACACCACCCGAAATGAAGTGTACATGTCTGATGACTTTAAAAAAAAAAAAAAAAAAACGTTAAAGACAGTAAGACAATTTCGAGACACTTTTAGAGAAATCTTTCTGAGAGATAAATCTTCGTGAGTTATTTTTATTGCCGTGTTTGAATTCTACTGCATGTTTCCTATATTTGTACCTACAAACTATACATTGAAATGTCTTGTTGCAGGACTTTCGGGTAAACAAAAATAAAAATGGATCTGAGATCTACGTGGATCTTTACAGCACTCATTGTGTTTGTAAACCTTGGTAAGAAGAAGCTATTTTTGCATTATGTATTTATATATATATATATATATATATATATATATATATATATATATATATATATATATAGAGAGAGAGAGAGAGAGAGAGAGAGAGAGTTATATATATATATATATATATATATATATATATATATATATATATATATACAGAGAGAGAGAGAGAGAGAGAGAGAGAGCAGTGTCACTCACGAGTATTTTAAAGATTAGGACCAACTTTGTTTTTTTTTCCCTTTGAACCTTAGTGCCATTAAGACCACATTGTCATGTTCATTGCTCCATGCACACAATTTCACTTGTTGTATGTATGTCACTAAAAAAAAAATACCTGGCGTTTTCCATGAACTGAACGCTGCTCTGATCGACCCGTCTCATCAGCCGTGGCAAGGTCTGCCGTCACACGAGACTCGTCCCGTAAACGAGACCTCCTGAACCTGGCCACCACCATCCACGCGTACACTGGTCGCTCTGCCCTGGACTACAACGGCTACGGGTGTTTCTGTGGACTGGGGGGATCTGGTACACCGGTAGATGCCGTAGACAGGTACATTTGTGCAAGCGTAATGTTTGGTGACGTCATGGCTCCTGCTTGATCATATCGAGGCCTCCCGTAGCTCGGTGGGGGCGTAGATCGATGGGGGCCCAGCTCACGCACATATTTAGGCTCCGTTGTCCCACCTTAACCACAGTGGCGGCAACAAGGGAGTTAACGGTAGAGTTATCTTTGGGAATTCCCCACACCTGACTTTAGATGATTTGAGCAGAATGTTTCCTACTCCGCCCCCCCCCCATTCCCAAGACGCAATAGTCGTTCCTTTGACTGGAAGATGCCAAAGACACCTCTTTATTTACACATACGAATTGAATCCAATATAAAAAAATTATAATTATTAAAATTCAAAACATAAGCTTCAGAATAATTAAGTTTGAAATTCATATCATTTTTTGACTTTGGCATTGTTTAAGCACTAGAACCTTTTATGCTTGTAGATTTGATGTCTACCCGGAACAACTGACCTATTTGGAGATGTCATTATTTACGCCCGTAGAATCTATGAAACGATTTGATTCCTTTGTCTAGTTTCTTTTCGGTCTGAAATAGTGAAGCGATTAGTCGCATCAGTAACTTTGTATTTTTTAAACCTTCACCTGAAATTATCAGTTTATATGTTAGCACCTGTCTTGACTTTCATTTCCATTGTTCGTTTTCTTTCAGGTGTTGCCAGGCTCATGATCTTTGTTACCATAGCACCAGCTGTTTGATCCCCCATCTGTCCCCAGAGAAGGAACATTGCAGTGGCAACAGTTGCACGTGTACGGGTGAGTCCTCGCCAAATTAGGCACTTCATATTTCTTTGTTTATCAGCGAGGCACTTTAGCACATATCATTTATCCTTTGCTATCTTATCACTTTAGCATATGTCGTATCACCATAGCATATATCATATCGCCTTAGCATGCGTCATATCACTTTAGTATATGCCATATCACTTAAGCATCCGTCATATCACTGTATTATATGTCATATCACTTTAGCATACCATATCACTTGAGTATATTATTACTTTAGTATATGCCATGTCCATTTATCACATATCATATCATTTTATCGTGTATCATATCACTTAGCATATATCATATATTCAGTGTTGAAACTTATCATTGTTGAAACCTACAAATCAAAATTGAATAATTTGTTTAAAAGTCAAAGACAAGCGAACTATCATTGTATTTTTTATTATAGCGTATAACTTTCTTTTTTTATATTCAAGTTTATATATGTGTTTTAAAAGTGTCTTTATGTTTCAGATCCCGCCGGCACCTGCAATTACCAAGTCTGCCATTGTGATATCACGTTTGGAGCATGTCTGACTCATGCCACCTATGTACCCGCCCACAAAGGGTACTGTCCCTCCCATGGGTAGATAGAGCTCATGAAATAAAAGTGTTTTTAAAAATAGAAAAAGAGTTAACAATTTTAATTTTTGTTCGTAAAATTGCAACGTCTGAGCCTTAACTTAGAATTTTGAAACATATTTTTTGTTTCCTCACAACATTTAGATCAGTGGTTCTCAACTTTCCTAGTGCCGCGAAACTATAGTACATTTCCTCATGTTGTGGTGACCCCAAGCATAAAGTTATGTTCATTGCCATGTCATATTTATGTGTTTTCCGATGTCTAAGGCGACCCCTGTGCAAGGGTCGTTCGACTCCCAAAGGGCTCGCGACTCATAAATTGAGAACCGCTGATTTAGATGGATATATAAATGAAAGGACTGCATTCAAGCCCAGTAAATGAATGAAATAGCAAAACAAGGTTTGTGGAAGCTTGAATTAGAGATTTAGATGGATTAACGTTAAGCTGGAAAAGATGTTGGACGAGCAAAATGCAACACATCAGTTATATTTGATCTCATTTGACTTTTTGTTTTAAATTTGAGCAACTTAACACACCACAGGATAGGTTCTCACTGGAATGGCATCAAGAGACGATTTTTTAAAAATTTTTGGTACATCAAATGTACAAATCGTCGGTCATTTGAGGCATATACACAACACAGAAAAAAAAAGAGACGGACTAATTTCTTGATGGCATCACTCCAAGGAAGATGCGTGCCTCCTACCTTTGCTCGTAGTGGTAATATGGAAGACGTAAACTTTTGATTTTGAATTCAACCTAAATTATGCACGCTCACCAAGAGCCTGTTGAATTTTAACCACGCAGATCATGGTCCGCATAATCCTGTGATCAAATTAATATCATCTAATATTACCAATGCACCAAAGTATGTTTGACAGGGGCACAACACACAAACAAAGAAAGATGTAAACAATAATGGAGGATTGACCTGCATCACAAACAAAAAGTAGACAATATCAATAAACATTTCAAGGTCGTTCCGAAAAATCGGTCCCCCTTAATAACAATTCCGAATAATTGATCTCCCTTTAAAAATAAATTCCTATTAATTTATCTCCCTTTATAAGCAAATTCCGATTAATTGATCTCCCTTTAGAAACAAATAGAGATATAATTTTATATATATATATATTTATAAATCTTAAAATTAAATGTCGTATAGGAGAAAAAATGTGATCCTAATGATTGGCACGGAAATAATTTGAGGGTATAAATAGACTTTCTCATCATCTAGAAACATGGAAATATAATAATTACATTTTAGGAAAGTACTGCATGATAGTGAACTTTATAAAGCTGTGCAGAGGTTAAGGTCTACATCTATGTAAATACTGCCTCCAGTTGCATTCTGACTTATCTTTTTTCACTATAATTCCTTTTTTCTCTCTCTCTCTTATTGTTGTATGCCTAACACAAGAAAACGTTAGATAGGCGAAAGACTCTTATCAATGAATTTAAAGTTGAACAACAGGTGAAACATCCTTAAGGCAGGTTAGCGTACGGCTTTTACGTTGAAAAATAAAAAGTTTAACATCAAACTTTTCTACTTAAATTGAATAAAATGGACTGGAGATTTTTTTTAGCGTTTCATGTGGGACCATAACAAGTGTTTTTACATTTGCTCTGCTTCACTAAATTTTCGAAATAAATAAAACAACAAAAAATTACAATGAACATTACTTTGATATGGAAAGTATTTTTATTTTGATGAAATTTGAATGCCTTCAAGTGCGAGATCTTCAAGTACTCTTTAAGCCAACGCCTTCATTTTTAGCCTCATTTGCAGTTTGACGCATTTTACTAGCCTTAAACGGCGAGGCACTTATCTTCTAAATCTTCTAAATTACTAACATGATTCAAATCAACTCATTAAGGATTTTTTAATTTTAAGATTTTTTTTTTTTTTTAATCCCAAGCATTTATTTATTTTCATTTTTATTTTTAAGTTCTTCTTTTTCAATTCATTTAAAATGTTTGCTTCACTGAAAAAAAAATGTTTGTTTTTCGGAAGGGTTTTAATAAGGTTTCATTAAACGAAATGAACAAATATATGTAAAAAAAATCTATGAAATATCTACATTCAAGAAGATTCTATAATATGAGACACTATTTCAAACAGAATGAATTTATTTTTTTTCCAGGCATACACACCATTCTGTAGAGGATTTTAAACATTATATGGAATACTATTTGCGATAATACAGTTCATGTCCTTTGTATGTTTCAATGTTAGGAAATCAAACTACATGAAAAGTCCCTATATTTTTTAGTTGTCCTGAGAATTTATCCTAGATTTACGTGGAGAAACAGCATCTTCTCTAATGACATATTTTAGTTACCCCAATATTTAAAGCTTATAAAAATCGGAATTTTGATACTTGTGCATTTTTAAGAGAGAGATATAAAGAGAGAGAGAGAGAGAGAAAGAGAGAGAGAGAGAGAGAGAGAGAGAGAGAGAGAGAGAGAGAGAGAGAGAGAGAGAGAGAGAAACAAATTGAAAATAGTCATATGGTGAGTGTGTGAATATTTAAGGGAAGAGACGTTAGCACGATGCATATTATGAAGGCATATATATAAGAGAGAGAAAAAAAGAGAGAGAGAGAGAGAGAGAGAGAGAGAGAGAGAGAGAGAGAGAGAGAGAGAGAGAGAGAGAGAGAGAGAGAGAGAGAGAGAAACAAATTGAAAATAGTCATATGGTGAGTGTTTGAATATTTAAGGGAAGAGACGTTAGCACGATGCATATTATGAAGGCTTGCAATAATTGATTATTTGATACTAGATAGAGCCCGCCAAACATTGGCAGCGTGAACTTCCCATCTAATAAAGTTACTTGACAAAACATGAACTCAAGTAACGCACATTTAAGAATCAACATTTTCGCTACACCCCTCCCCCCCCCCTTTTTTTTTAATGGTACGTCACTGCACACTTTTTATTTCACGCCCATGAACTATATTATATTCTCATGTCCCAACCACTTTTAAACCGAATATTCTTTGCACAATACTTAAATTGAGACGATTACATTTCTGAAAAGGAAATATTACGCACCAAACGCAATTGCGTTATAATATATATATATATATATATATCATTTTGCGTAGTTATCGGGAATTGTATTTTGCGCGCTAATGAACTCATTATTGAACCACACTCTGGCGTATCTATGCATAGCCTGCGTGGTGGCGTTTGACCATTGCTGGCGAATTATATATATAGATTATATACCTATTATTTAATTTAAAAGCTGAATCTTAACTGTGGGGTTCTTTATAACACAGTTGGGGAAAATACAACTCTGTGTATTTTATCTAAACCATCACCTGGAATAGCTTATCTTAAACATTAATGGGTGTAGTTTATTCAAACCATCACTTATTTGTGATTGACCCAAACGTAAATCAGATTCTTTCATACCAGATGTCCGAAGATCTCAGTTTTTCAACAAAACAAAAAAAACAAAAACAAACAAAAAACAACAACATGGGTTTGAGGGAAATACTTAACCAGTATAAAACGAATAAGTCGGTCATTCAAAAAGTTTCTAAACTAATGAGAGTGGTGGCCATGTTACAGGTAGCAGACGGGATTGCGTCGTGTGGTGGTGTCACGAATATACTCGTCAGATCTTATCTATAGAGTAGCCATGGTCAGAGGACGAGTTACAGATATGTAATCTTCAAAATAAATTGCTTTCCATAAGAAATAAGTGGACGGCATTTGAGTCGTTCCTTGGAGTTGCCAGGCACAGAAGTATGTTGTTATGGTGTTTAATAGACATGTACTGTGTAAAAGTGTTAAATAGCCATGCATTGTGTAATTTTTTTAATAGCCATGCCTTGTGTAAATGTGCTTAATAGCCATGCATTGTGTAAATGTTTTTAATAGCCATGTATTGTGTAAATGTGTTCAATAGCTATGTATTGTGTAATGGTGTTTAATAGCCATGTAATTGTGTAAATATGTTTAATGGACATGCATTGCGTTATTGTGTTTAATAGCCATGCATTGTGTAAAAGTGTTTAATAGCCATGTATTTTTAATGGTGTTTAATAGCTATGCATTGAATAAATGTGTTTATTGGCATTATAAATTAAAGACATTAACTGCTTCTTAAAATAGCCCGCAGTTTAAAAAAAAATTGAATAGTAATCAATTGAGTGACATGAAAGCTCAATATTGTTCTAGTATAAAGGCAAAAACAAAAAAAAACAACAACAAAAAAACTAAGATATTCACCCGTATTATAACATGAAATTTAGCTGCGTACGTTTACAATCCTAAAGACAATGCCATCGCGTGTGTAGTGGATAACCTGAATCCACATCCATTGTTTAATATCTTGCTCTTTGGAAAATCAAGAGCTGCGAACCTACGGTATGTTACACTAGAATAACGCGTATTTATTTACGTCAGTACGATCTGATGTTTGGATTATAACGTAAAATCAAAATGATATCACCGATGTGTGTCAAACTATATAATCCAGGAGGTAGTCACGTGCGCCTGGACGCTTTTCAATTTTAGTTGAAATAATGTGCTTGTTTATTTCAATATTACAGAAGAAAAAAAAACAATCAGTGTATGTTTTTGTTATTATAAGGTTCTCACGCGAAGAAGCACGTCGAGCATCACTAACGATGGCCCAAAACAGTGGATCCCGGTGGGTTGTTGGAGCTTTGCTGGTGCTCTTAGCCATGGGTAAGATGACTGGCAGTAAAGTTATATAATTATGCATCTAGCTATACAATCATACCTATCCCTCTCTTGTCCATTCTGCTATCCACACCTTGCAGGAGGACGATCTAGGAAAGTGTGACAGTTAATCAAGAAACTGGGGGGCGGGGGTTGCGTTCATCACGTGACATCAAAACATTTATTAAATCATACATTTGAAAGCTCACATTGACATTGATGTTACACTTTCTTTGGCCCTGGAAGTATTCATCAATAATTTGTCCCTAAGAAGTGTCTAATGTAAATAGTGAAGTGTATTTTATATTTAATTTGTAATAAGTTGTCAACTCTAATTTTAAAAAATTAAAGTTGTGACATACTTTAGAAGCAGGTGTCAAAGATTTGTGAGAATTTGTGACAGGTTAAAAATGGTCAAAACTAGCGTAATTTACTTTATGTACGGCCCATATGACAGGAAAACAGTGATCACATCCAATTTATTATGTTTGTTTCTGGGTGGGCAAGTGGTCTAGACCGACTCAAACAAAATAGCTGGTGGTCTTGAGGTTAATCCACACCATCACAAGCATCCCGGGTGGATGGGACTAGTTAGCCTTGGACTGCAACTCATCTAAGAGAAGGAAACTCTGAATTCAAACCACGAGCTAGAATGATCAATAAATTGATCGTGGCCCCCTCAAATATAGGAAGAAGAAGAAAAAGAAAGTTAAATTACGGCGTCAAACATTATGCGTTCATCCTTTTCTCAAGACAGATAATGCTTTGACAGCATTTTAAAAAGCTTTCACTTAATTATCATTACAGTGGTGTTATAAAAAGTGGAACCCCAGCCTATGGCTAGGCTCACCACTCTTCACATACAAATTTGCAATAAGAGACAAAAGAAACTTGAAATTAAAAACAGTTACGTAAAAGTATTCATTTGAAAACAGCTGTGTATGAATATTGGCCTCGCCCACCCCAAGTACTTGTTACCTCCGTCTAGCCATGGATTGAAAACAGCTGTGTATGAATATTGGCCTCGCCCACCCCAAGTACTTGTTACCTCCGTCTAGCCATGGACGGCACCCAGCAGTGTCTCGCATCGTTTAATCCACCAGAATCTCGGGAGACTGAGTCGGGATAGTAATGTTGGAAGAGATGGGTCTTGAGTGCAGTTTGGAGGCTTGGATGGTATTGTGGATGTGTAATGGAAAAAAGAATTCCATGGTTCGAGGCCGCAGAAAGAAAAAAAAAAGATCGTTCACTGTATGTCTTACTTCGCATCTTGGGAAAAGAAAGAATAGGCGTGTCTGCGGAGAAAATTTCACTGGTGCCTGTGTTGTAATGTTAAAATATATACCAGCATCGTGTTCACATTTTTTGGTGTTTTTTTTCTGTAATGTTTCATTGTTATGACCGCACCAGCCACCTTGGCGTCGTCTGCCCCAAGAGGCACGTCACGTAAGCGAGACCTTCTGAACCTGGCCACCATCATCAACGCCTACACCGGTCGTGGCGCCCTCGACTACAACGACTACGGCTGCTACTGCGGCTTCGGAGGCTCCGGGACACCCGTGGATGCTGTTGATAGGTAATGTAAGTTTTTGTAATTATTTATTTAGCTAATTGCAAAAGAAGTTCAAATTTGTGGATATTTATAACTGACTGATATTAATTTGGCTTTGTATATGTTTAAAAAAAAAAGTGATAAAAATGTGTATAATTGTTGGTATTAATTTTTTTAAAACATTCTTTAAAATTTTGTAATTTAAATATTTCAAAATAAAAAAATAAAACTTTATTCGTTTCGTTATCGAGGAAAAAAACATTAAAAAATACACATCACTTAATTCTTTTTTTTTTTTTTAAGAATTAAGTAGATGTGTATTACAAAATACACATCTACTTCATTCTTTTTAAAATAGTCTTTAATTAGCGTTATAAACTATTTATTAATTTAAATATTTCAAAATAAAAAAATAAAACTTTATTCGTTTCGTTATCGAGGAAAAAAACATTAAAAAATACACATCACTTAATTCTTTTTTTTTTTTTTTAAGAATTAAGTAGATGTGTATTACAAAATACACATCTACTTCATTCTTTTTAAAATAGTCTTTAATTAGCGTTATCAACTATTTAGTGAACTTCACCTTTGACGTTTATTATTTTAAAAAATTGTCGTCGTAATTGAACGTATTGCGTCCAGCCAATCTTTGCATTGTTTCACGCCAGGTGTTGTCAGGCACACGATGCCTGCTACTCTGCCACCAGTTGTTTGATCCCACACTTGGCGTCAGCCAAAGAGGAGTGCCATGGAAACACCTGCACGTGTTTAGGTGAGTCCGGCAATGGTCACGTTGGGTAAAAATATTTCCGGCAGAGGTATCTCACGTACAGTATTTCAAATACAGGTAACTCATGCCCAATATTTCAAGTACAGGCAACTCATGCACAATATTTCAAGTACAGGTAGTCCATGCCCTGTATTTCAAGTACAGGTAACTCAAGCCCAATATTTCAATTTCAGGTTATTAATTTACAGGTAACTCATTTACAATATTTCAAGTACAGGTAACTCATTTACAATATTTCAAGTACTGGTAACTCATGTAAAATATTTCATATACAAGTAATGCGTTACATTGTTGATTTCATTATCTAAGAATAAACAGGTTCATTTCTCAAAGTCTATTTATTAAGATTAATATCAAATATATCTAATAAATTCATCCGTCGAAATCTACTATGACCAAAGTAATCATCGCACAGGCTGATAACTCTCCTCAACCCTGGGTGCGCAGATGGCTGATGACACCAATTATAGCAAATACGATTGTTGTTGGGTTGTTTTTTTTTTGGTACTAATAAGTAACATTGGCATCCAAGTCAAGGGATCTCAAGTCGCTATATGAAATCGCTCTATGTTTACATATCATTGTATGCATTTCAATAATATTTGTCTTTCAGATCCCACCTACACCTGTGCCTACGAGGCTTGCCACTGTGACGTCGTATTCGGCCAATGTCTGTCTCGTGCCCCGTACGTCAATTCCCACAAAGGATACTGTCCCAACTAAGGGTGGAAAAAAAAATCCAAATTAAAGAGAAACGAAATAAATCAGATTTTAGTGTCTAGTTTCTATTTACGTGTCTTCTTAAAAAAAAAAAGTTGCATTTTAAACTGTTAGGACTGTTTATATACAGAAACTTCTTGCACGGCTAATACGTCTAGCTGTTATAGACATTTCATCATCATCAGTTATATTATTTTGTTTTTCATCAGTGTTTTTTTTAAGGGAACGTTTTGTCATGAGAGGCTATTGGGGGTCAATACGGAGCTTTGATGCGTATGGAAGCAGGCAGTTATGGTATTAGTACGGATGCAACGCTGTCGTGGGATGGCTTCTGAATTTTTTTTTTCGATTCTTGTCAAAGTTTGTGGAAAAAAATCGAATGATGAGAGACTGCAATCAGATAAGGAATCAATTCCTATGGCGCTACACCCATGTAATGGTTTGGCCTGCCTCACCACGTCCTTTCATACAGACCTAACTGATGCTTTTCTTTTCTATGCTTGGATTCCCGGCTGCTGTAGATCTTTTTCCATATCGGATTGCGGTATAGAAGCGGATAATCGAAATGAATTATGGGAAAGCCCCAAAAAAAGGATGCAACAACAAAACAAAAAGGATGTTTTTATTCTATTTGATTTGTAATTTTAAATTTACTTAATAAATTATTATTTGTAATCAGCCCTATTTTGGGTATCGTTCTTTATTGCTGTATTTAATTAATGGTATCGTCCTTTGCTGTGTGCTGTTTGTCACGATCAATACATATTGAAATAAGAGAATACATTCTTGACACTATAGCGGTGCGTAACAGCTTCAATGTAGACGTTACAGACAAGCGAAAACATTAATTTATTATGTTCTATAACAGCACAGATAATTTGTATTTTATTTGATAAAGTTTCAATGCGTTTCGGACCTCGAGTAGTGATCCTGGTCAGAAGATGGGCAGAAGACATGGTCTTAACATCTGTTTTTATTTGCACTGTTGTACGTTGCCCGACCCAGGCATTGACCAAGCGCAACATCGCACGCGCAGGATTCATACCTACATTTGCCTCGTGGACCTAAGAATTACATCATAGTTATAAAACCAATGAAAGCTAGAAAAAGGTGGCTTAATAATATTAAAAAAACAAACATTCTTAGATACTCAAATAGCTTCTGCAGTATTGAATTTATAAACGTTCCTATTACATCATTTATTTGAGAAGGGATTAGCATACAAGACCGCCGAAAAAAAATTAAATATCGTTCTCTTAGACAGAATATTTATTCCAGGGATTTGAGCCCCTACCTCGTGTGGGACACTAATATCTCATTTGAAAAAGATATCATTATTTTTTAAAGCGCTTCTAATGATGTCATTTGAAGAATGGGCTTCAAAAAAGTTCTCAAACAGGTTATATTCAATCCTTTTAAAGATATGTTGTTTTTTTTTAAAGAAAAAGTGTTATTTGAGGTGTGCACTGTGCCATGATGTACATAAATTAATTTTTTTACTTTTTTATACTTTGTCATTTGAGATTTTCTGAAAGCGTCTGATACGTACTCTAATCTGTGCCACATTTTAGCTACTTGTTTTATACAAACAATCTCTATATATGTAAAAAGCATCAATGACCAGATTCACAATGAGAGATTAAAATTTTAAGATCCAAACATTTGCTAAATCTAGAATTGAAGTGAAAGAAATGGCTAACCCCTCTCTATATAATACAGTCTTGTTTGGTTTATTATTAAGCTGAAAGAAGAGGGGGGGGGGGGGGGGCTTAATAACTTACTGGTGCAAACGCAATCTGCCCCACTGCAGTCTACTGATGGCGCCTGAATATGGGATTGCCCACAACTTGTCCTTGTGTAGCACTGATCGTGTTCCATACAGCATCTGCAAAAATGAGTAAAAAATTGATAATGCACTGGGTAGTGGTGGTGATGACGTGCTAGATGTTGATAATGCACTGGGTAGTGATGACGTGCTAGATGTTGATAATGCACTGGGTAGTGGTGGTGATGACGTGCTAGATGTTGATAATGCAATGGGTAGTGATGACGTGCTAGATGTTGATAATGCACTGGGTAGTGATGACGTGCTAGATGTTGATAATGCACTGGGTAGTGATGACGTGCTAGATGTTGATAATGCACTGGGTAGTGATGATGTGCTAGATGTTGATAATGCACTGGGTAGTGATGACGTGCTAGATGTTGATAATGCACTGGGTAGTGATGACGTGCTAGATGTTGATAATGCACTGGGTAGTGATGGCGTGCTAGACGTTGATAATGCACTGGGTAGTGATGACGTGCTAGATGTTGATAATGCACTGGGTAGTGGTGGTGATGACGTGCTAGATGTTTATAATGCACTGGGTAGTGATGACGCTAGAGATGTTGATAATGCACTGGGTAGTGATGGCGTGCTAGATGTTGATAATGCACTGGGTAGTGATGACGTGCTAGATGTTGATAATGCACTGGGTAGTGATGACGTGCTAGATGTTGATAATGCACTGGGTAGTGATGGCGTGATAGACGTTGATAATGCACTGGGTAAGAAAAGTTGAACCATTAAGAGAGAGAGAGAGAGAACGAGAGAGAGAGTGAGTGAGAGAGAGAGAGAAAGAGAGAGAGAGAGAGTGAGTGAGAGAGAGAACGAGAAAGAGAGTGAGTGAGAGAGAGAGTTACTTGATTTATCAATGCACTGTATATATAGAGTGCTGATAACCAGTTGACACAGTACCACACTTTTAAAGTAGATTAGAGTAGAGAACATCTAATTCACCTGTCTGTACTATCCACGGGAGTCCCGGAGCCTCTGTACCCACAGTAACACCCATAGCCATTGTAGTCCCAGGCACTCCTTCCAGTGTACTTTTTAATGATAGGACCCATATCCCCAATGCCTCGCTTCAGGACTGATTTCTTCTCCAGGTCTTCGAGATCAGCTGAATCAGAAATTGCTTTGAAAGGAATTAAATTGGGAGAAATAAAACCCATCAAAAGAATATTATCTTCGGCGGCGGAATAAAATAGCAATATATATATTTCAAGGCATGGGCACACTGGGCATTAACCAATGGACCCACCCTTCTAGGGGCACTTTGCTTCACAAGTGTTTTGAATTTTGAAATATCTTTAAAATTCTAGCGGAAAGAATGTTTCTGCACATTTTTTTTTAAATTTTTTTTTCAATTTTTGAATATTTCAAATTTTTCGATTTTACTTTTTAAACTATTGAATCTGTGGTTGTGAAACGCTGGTGTAACGTGTGAATTTTTTTTCTTTTTGGACATCACTAACCCACGCCCTAAGCCTCCAGCACCTCTTACTACCCCTTGAAAAAAAAGAAAGAAAGGAAGCACTTATTTGTTGTTACGTCTAATAGGTAAAATGTTAATGCCTAGAAAACTTACCACCGATGAGGACGATGGCGACAGCAATGAAGTGACAAACGATGACGGAGATATTACCAGACCTCGCCATGGCTTCAGGTGATGGATTTGTAATTATTTATGTGTACTGCAATAAACATTGTTAAAGTTATGTACCCATACATATGATGGCTAATCTTCTGCTTAGCACCTAAGTTGTTCTCGTTTACATACAAACATTACACTCAAAAACACATATTATATATATATATATATATATATATATATATATAAATAGAAAGAGAGAGAGAGAGAGAGAGAGAGAGAGAGAGAGAGAGAGAGAGAGAGAGAGAGAGAGAGAGAGAGAGAGAGAGCGAGAGAGAGAGGGAGAGAGAGAGAGAGAGAGAGAGAGAGAGAGAGAGAG